GAACTTCCATTAACAGGCTCTCGCGCTCGGACTCAGGGCGAGTCTGCCACTCAGGGGGAGAGTAAGTACCTCATTATTTTGCACCTTTTTCCTTAACTGCTGGCAGTGTGTTTTTAAGCTGATTGTGGTGACTGCCATTCACGCACAAAAAGACGTTTTCGTGTCCAGCTAGGGGTTGCACTGGAACTGTGAACTGTGGCTGTAGACCTGGCCTTGAATGAAGGAGGTTGTAATTAGTCCGTGTCTGCAGGCAGCCCACAGTGCTGTGGGTGGTAACTACAGGTGAATGTGCAGAGGCACCTAAAACCGTTGCTAAACCAGCGCTGCGTTAAAGCGGCCAACCGCAGTTGGCACAGACACATGCTTCTTTTTGCAGCTGCCGACAGGAAGGATTTGACAGATTCTGTTTAGCTCTGTCTGCATGGAAGTGCATTGGGATGTTCTCGCAGCGAGTCCCGGCCTGCGCAGCCAGCTCGTTTTGGGTTTATTGAACATGTATGTGAAATGTATACTGGCTTGGATAGATGATGGCAACATGCCTGCGGCACTGCAATGAGAAGTGATGTGTAGCCACGTTAAAGCGGATAGCAATTTGATATACACGCAGCACAGAGTCCATGTGCTGGTGTCGAGTGGAGAGGATAGTTGCTAAAAATCACACTGTCGCTGGGATTGTTTAAATATTTCATGGTGCAACGAAGGTACACAAAAATTAATCACCGCTACAGTTGGCCAAGGAATCCCAAGTCGGTCTAAATTCGGCCTTTCTGTGTGTTATTCGCAATTTGTTGTGCATCTGGTATCGGGGCTGCGTCCCATTTCTGATCAGGTTTGCTACTTCTGGTTAAGCAGATCTTTATGGTCCTGTGAATGGTTGCTGAAATATTGGTGTCAGTTGTCATTTTGTGGGTATCGTATTTCTGTGTTGTGTTGTGGTTTTGAATCTGTGATAGCGTGTTAAAAACCCGGCTGTGAACTTTGCTTCAGCGGATATCTGTGTGTGTGTGAAAAGGGGTGTGTATCTGGGTTTTTGAGTGTGTGTGAATCCTGCAGGTTCTGTTCTACGTGTGATTGTGTAGCTACTGTTCTGAAGCTTTGAGCCGGCTCTGTTTGTCTGTATGTCTGTCTGTCAGTCTGTCTCTGTTCTGTGCATGTATGAGAAAGTATGAATTTAGAGGTACTGGAAAAAGGAAACAAGATTGTTTGACTAAAGTTCCGGGACGGTGTGTTCAGGTGTGTGTGTGTGAGAGAGTGTGTGTGTGGAAAATAGAAATGGAGAAGTGGTGAATTACTTCAGTGGCTGCCAAATGTTATCTGACAAAGTCATTTTAACATATGCCCTTATCTGCAGTTTAATTGTGTTTCTGACAATTTTTGCATTAGAACTCCTTGGCGTGCTCTCAGCCTGTTTCACTAAACCAGGAAACAAAACGACTTAGATAGAATGGGGAATACCGCTTCTAAAGCCAAACTGGAGGGAGATGTGAAATGTATGTCCCGTAAACACCCAGATAGTTTAAAATTTATGGATGAGTGGCGGAAGAAATACAAAGTTGTTGGAACATTAAAAGGTCATCCAGGGAAAAGATAATAAACCAAAAGCCCTTAAAACAGGCCCACAAACCTTCTTCGAAGAAACTGATGAACCTGAGGAGGAAGCTGTTTTTTACCAGCAGGGTAGCTACAGAGGGGAGTTTAATCCCCAGGGGGGTGGTCGTAGCAGCAACCAGAGACAGCGGTCCTCACTAGACCGCTCACAGCCACTCGTTTGTTGGACTTGTGGAGGTCGAGATCACATGTCACGTGACTGTCCTTCCCAGTCAGATGGCCCAGATAACAGACAGCCCAATAAGGGTCCCAAAAGAGGCAGGGGTTTCCAAACACAGAGGAGCCGACCTAGCCTTGAGCCTGTCAATCACCAACCGGGTCACACCCGATTCAGACAGGAGCGAAGGGATGACTATCAGCAAAGACTAGCGGCAGGTTTTGATACCTGGAAGGAAGTAAATGATGTGGTTGATTGTTGTGAAGCTGGGGAACTGCTTAATGTCCTAAAAGAAAAACTTTTTATAACACTTAATGTTGAAGGACAGAGTGTTGAGTTCCTTTGTGATTCTGGTGCATGTCAATCTGTTATAACATCTGGAGTGAAATTACCCAGGTCTCAGAATAGATTATTGGCCAGATGTTGTCAGAGCAAATGTTGGTGTGTGAGACGTTCTTATCAGGAATGCAGGGAAATGCTTTTAGAAGTTGAGATCAGTAACAGGCGGGGGGTTGGGAGTTAGTCAGGTGGAGCATCTGTACATGCTTGTTTCTCAGTCCCCCGCTGAGTTCTTTGTGTGTCAACACCAGAACCACAGGTTGTTGTGTTTTAGTTTTCTGTAGACTAGGCATGCAGATCAGGAGTAGTCACCGTAGAGTTTAAACTTGGATCAGTTCCCTCACACATCCACACTCCAAAGCAGTAAAACTGCTGATGGACAAACCACTCGCTCTTCTCTGTCTAAACCTGTTTGGGTGGATGATCCGGTGACAGGACTGGAAAAAAGAATCTCCCTGGTCATAGCACCAGACTGTCCTTTAAATTTGTTGGGCAGAGACCTCATGTCAGTGCTAAAAATCTCTATAGTCCCCATAAAAGATGGCATGAAGGCTGTTCGTGTGGCTGAAGATTGCTGTTACCTCCATGATCCTACTGATGTATATTATTCTTTGCAAGTCTCCGTTGAAGCAAATCTAGTTGAAACAGAGCTTGTTATGAGAACATTGCGTCCGGTGCTCAACACCGCTAGAAATGAAATGGACAGATTATTATAAAATTATTCTTCTTATGTTTAAGACATTGACAGTCTAAACACCCCCAAACTAAATATTTCGACCTGGTTTATTTTATCGTTTAGACTAATTAAGTAGATGTGGTTTATTTTAACATTTGCCATTTGTTTTTGTTTTTTAAGAATGAGCTGATTTTATGAGACTCATTGTTAAATTTTCCAGTGGGACCATCTGATATATATATATATATATATATATATATATATATATATATATATATATATATATATATATATATATATATATATATATATGTATATATATATATATATATATATATGTATATATATATGTGTATATATATATATATAGATATAAATGTATATATAGATATAGATATTCTTTGGTTTGTGGCCTATCCCCAAATTTAAGCTAGTGTGACCATATCCTGTATTATTGTTTCAATTATACAGTTTTATTTTATTGGGTTATTTTCTTTGGTGATAGAATTCTGCACATTGCAGTGCATGCATGGTTTATACCAACAAACCATTAATATCCTCAACTAACTTCTGATTATTAGTTTTGCTTAGTGAAAATTGTTTAGCACTGCACCAGTAAGAGTGGACTGCCATTTTCTTTTAACCTTTTGCTTGTTTTGGATTAGCCAGGGTTAGATATATGATGGTTGAAGGGTTATTGAGAGCTAGGTTTTTCTTTGTTATTTTGGCCTTTTGTCCATTCTGAAGCAAACGCAGTGATTCCAGACTGTTAAGACAGCAGATGTCCTCTGAGGTTCATGGTTCAACCTCTTGTCCAAAGAGACATCCCCTCACTGCCCCAACCGTCACAGGATCCCGCGTTGCAGTAACATCATCAAAGTTGCTGCCACACACATCTTTTACTCAGATTGGCTCTCTCTCCTGCCACACAACTGGTGTGGCCCAAAGTGCAGATTGGCTCCCTGCGCCCGCCTCACATCGCATGAGGACGGGCGTCCCTACGAGGACATTCGAGCTGAAGTAAGAGAGTCTGGGTCTGTGATGACCCTTTGCCCTTTCCCCATCTACAAACACGAAACCCCACACATCGACGGTCCCGCCATCAGGACTCTTCTGTTTCATCTCGGCGAAAGTGCAACACCGTCCTGACGAAGGCATTATTTTGCTCAAACTACAGTTTCTAGTCCACGAACAAGCCCTTTTGACCTCAGCTCTGCCACAGTTAGAGCTGTGTACATTGACATTCTACATTAACTTTCCCCCTCTAGCAACTTCCTGAAATCCAACTAATCGACTGGCAGATCCTGGAGTTTTATGAGTTGGCTGGTGTCTGGTAACTGGTATCAGCTCTTGTTAAAGTTTCTCGCACCTGTTATTGTTATCCTGGTCATGATTTGCTTAGTTTTAGGCTGTGTGCTACCGTGTTTGAAGAATATGGTAAGCAAACTGATGACGAATGTCTTAGTTCAATATACTCTCCTGAGACAAAAAGAGGAGCTTGCAGAAGATGAATATATTACCTGATAAAGTTAGTTTCATTATAATTTCAACAATGCAAATTGCGGTTTCTGTAACCATTGTTGTTTGATGTTCTTGTTATCAACTCAGATTGTGTTATTCTTCATTGTTATAATTATTTAAGGTGAACTCCGTTTGAACAGGGGGGAATGTTAGGCAAAAACTGATTATCAAACAGTTACCTCACTCCAAATGGTTGCAGGAATTCCTTTCTACTCCATTTTGCTTGAGGTGCTTATTTACATTTGAATGTTTGCTTCAGGTACTTGTGTTCTATTATATAGAGGCCAAACCGGGGGGTCCTGCCCTGGCTAAGAGCTTAGGCAGGAACGACTCTCCTTCCTGCCCTGGCCAAGAGGCTCGTTGAGCTATTATCTGAAGAATCCCTTTTGTCTTCTGTGGATTCCTAAGGCCAAGGGGTTTTTGAGGAATGTATGGGTGTGTGTGTTCTTGTAAATAAATACTCTCCGGAGTTTTCAACTCAGTGTGAGAGGAAACTGGTTACACGATTGGTGTGGATTGATTCTTCCTCTCACCCTTTGCAAAGTTTCTCATTTTGCAAAGTATGTGTTTGTTGTATGTTTAAGGGTTGTTTACAATTTACCAAATTATGAATCTAATCCCGCTGGGTGTGCTTAGAATTCCTTTGAGGTAAAATGGGAGTAATTTAGAAATTACCAAACAAATATGTTTTTTTCTTACCTTTCTTGGACTGCCACCATCTGTCAGGTTTAGAAGAAGTCAAGATGTTCTGAACTGTGTGGGCCAGCTGACTGTCTGTATTCCTGGAGTCACATGGACAGCACTTCATCCTTGACTGTAAAGAGGATGCAGGGGTGGGAGGGGACATAACATTTTAGACATTATTATTATTATTGATACATGCATAGGCAACGTTTGGGCACTGTGAGCAGACTGAGAAGCAACCAATGCATGATTCTTCATTAGACAATTACTTTAATCACCCTAACCCAAACTAAAGATTGGGTTTCTTTAGAGTTTTACAAAAGTGAACAGTAGAAGTTAAGTAATTATAGTCAGGTGCGCAGAGTCAGTTAACACTTGGTGGGGCCTCGTCCACACAGAAATGCTGAAAATATGTACTTCTGTGCACTTTTGGTTTACAAACAGTATTCATAATCCCAAGAAAAAATCTAAAATACATTTACGGTCATGATTAATAATCCTAATTCATCTAAAAAAATCCATATTCAAAAAAGAAAGAAATAGATAAAATAGAATTCACCAAACTAAGTCGCAAAATACAGATACTCACTCTATCACACCAGGCAATAAAACATTTCCTCCAATACACAATTATAGAAAGCAAGATAAATCGATCTCTTCACTGCTGCATTTGATTAAAGTCTCTTTCCAGAGTATTTCTCTTATCCGATGGCACCATCTAGTGGCTGACAAGCATTTCACACAAAAATTCAGTTGCTCTGTTTAAGATGGCGATTTCACGTTTCTGTTTATAAATGTGCTTCTGTAGTCAACAAAAAGCTAAAACACGTTGTTTTACGAGTATTATTCTCATGTTCTCATATATTTATTTTTTAGAGACTTACTTGTCCGTGAAAAGTTCATCAACTCTGCAACAGCCGAGGTATTCCTTAAATTTGAAGCAAGCAAGAGGTAGTCTAACGCTATTGGTTTGTTCTGGTCGGCGCTCAGTTTCCTACTGCACGGAGCTCTGCAGGGCAGAGGGCGTGCTTAGCCAAAAAAATTTAAAAAGCCATATTGCTTACATTTTATCACAGTACATTATGAGACAATTGCTTTTACGGATTTCTGAAAAATCATACATCATTTCTGAAAGGGGAAAACTCCGGAAAGCAGCTTTAAGAATTTAATGGGGAATTTTTGCCTGCAGATGTGTTTACTTCAGCTCCATACATTGTTAAATCTGATTAGTTCAGCTTACTTGAAAAAACATGCAAAACGATCGCAATTCAATTAGTACACAGGACTAGGTAATTATGTGTTGGAGCTACTAATACTTACAAGTAAAATTTACTTCATTACAAGTTAATCTAAGTCAAACTAGTACAAAGTATTTGGAAATTTGTTTACTGGACTAGTTTTTTTTTTGAGTTGTGTATACTTAAGCTTTAGTAAACTGCAAGTAAAGTTTTCAGTACGCTGTACTAGTTTTTTCCTAGTAATAGTTACTTGCATTTAAGTATGTTTTACTTTATATACAGGAGAAACTTCGAAAATAATCTAGTATCATGTACTTATTATTTTAAGTGCAGTCTGTTGGATAAATTATGGATACATTGTGTATGATTTTAAACGAAATTACATCCAGCCTATTTTTCCCTGGCAACAGACAGGTGCTTGACCTTGCTTCTCCCCAGTCCTAGCTTATCAGTAAGAACACCCTGTGCCAGCGCATGCTTGTCTCCCTAAATGTGTGTGCGTTTTATCATTTCTGTGTGTCTTTAATAAATACTCTTGAGGGCTTTTGTCCGACGAGAGCAAAGAGACCACCGACTCGTGTGTATCATTTTATCTCTCTCTCTCCACTTTGCAAAGTCTAAATGGTTTCTTGTTAATAAGATTAGAATGGGTTAAATTGATCAGCTTGATAATAAAACCCCTGAGTGGTAAGCTTTCCTTTCAGGTAACCCTGGATGGGAAAATGAAATAACCTAACATATTACTGCAATGCCCTTCTAACTGGTCTTCCAGGCTGTACTGTGAGACCTCTTCAAATGGTCCAGAACGCAGTGGCGTGTCTGGTCTTCAATCAGCCAAAAAGAGCACACGTCACCCCTCTGTTCATTGAGCTCCACTGGCTACCGCTAGCAGCATGCATCAAATTCAAATTGCTAACACTAGCATACAAAGTCCGAGATGGTACGGCTCCCATCTACCTGAATCCTCTTGCAAAGGCTTACGTCTCGGCCCGGCCGCTCCGGTCATCACAGGATCGCCTACACCACGCTCAGGACAATCCAGACTCTTCTCATGCATCATTCCACAAATGTGGAATGACCTACCAAGCACTACCAGAACAGGAGCTTCCTTTTCAATTTTCAAGAAACTCCTGAAGACCCTGCTCTTCAGAGAGCATCTTCTTAACTAGCACCCTCCCTGCACCCGTCCCCACCTCTCTACTGTCCACTCCTTGTTCCCTACTCCCCATGACTGATGTCAAGTTGTTGTTATTGTTGTTAGCCTCAAGGGCAAAATGCCGATTATCGCTTGTAAGTCGCTTTGGACAAAAGCATCTGCTAAATACATAAACATAACAGGGATGAGTGGTGATGACCTTCCAACACACACTTCCTCCTTTCATGTCCTACTTGTTTTGCTTTTTGTATTTTATTTTTAGGCCTTGTGTCACAAAAAGGAGTCACATTTTCACGTAACATTTTTATTTTGTACTCAAAGCTGTTTCAATAAAACAATGAAAACCACTATGAGGAGTGGATTGAATGTGCTTCTGGCTTTGGAGACAACCATGTTTCTGTTAAATGTATAGATAGATTGCAGCTTCCTCAACTTGGAATGAGGACTCAGTTAAAGGGGCGTTATTTCCTTGCTTTACAGAATAAAAACATTTAAAGGGCGGGTCAACCCTGCCTCAGAGTTCTCCACCCACATATCAGTTTTGAAAATTGCAACATTCGTAGGCGTTGCCTGGCGGACCGAGAGGGCGGAGCCGCGGCAGTGATGAAGATGGATCGGTAATGAGACGAAGCTAGCTTTTTTCACTCTGAGCAGTCATTAGAAGTGGAGGACGCTTCTCCCCGTCCTTACCCAGACAATTGAGAAGAACGGGACCATGTCTATGTGGAGGAGACAAGCGGACCTGAGCCTTATTGTTTTGAGCTTGTGAGTTGCCTGAAACTTCCGGAACCGACACAACAGAACCAGCTTTGAATGGTAAGTAGCTGTTAGCCATAGCATTAGATTAGCTGCAGGGTTTGGCTCCACGGCCTTAAAAAGCTATTATCAATCATGTTTTAGAAGTTTATCTGCTTCAACACACCTTATTTTAATCAGCAGTAATAGCTGCGCTGCTGAACAGCTAATCTAACCTGGTAAAGCAGGAAAAAAAAACACTGAAATGTGTCGATAGCAGCTGTCTAGGACACAGCCACCTACCCTGGGCTAAAGTTACAGTCTGCTGCATAGAAAGTTATGAAACTACCCCATGAGAAAATTATTCTGTAATGTGTTCATTTATGTTACACAATCCCAAACAGCCCACTAAAACTGCCCTGATTTCATTATTTATTTACAGATACCAGCTGCTCTCTTGGTCGTAGGTGATCCTCAAGTGTCAGCAGCTGGGTCTCCTCTGGTGGTGTTGTCAGGATCAGGAGCTTCCAGAAGATTTTTCCCTTGAATGATTCCTTCCCCCTCTAAACAGTTATTTGTTATATTAATTAAATAAATCTCAATTTATATATTTCTTGTTTTTGTTCATGTCCATAAATACTTAAACATGCTTGAAATTAAAATGAGCTTTTAACAGTGAGGTGCTAGTTTAATTCATCACAATAGAGCTAAACGTGTAAAATGTGATAATTCAGTTAATGCAATTTATAAATATCTATTAAAATATAAAAACTGTTACTAAAATGAGACATTTTGACAACACAAAGAACTTGTCAAACAAAATATTTAATACAATAATTGTAGGCGGACAGGAGACAGAGCTGGATGGATGTTCTCAGTCATCGAAGGATGGCTGAAGGCTTTCCAGGAACAGGAGATGTGGTGTTGTCTCTTCTCTCTATTCTGCCAGATGAGCTGATAGGTTACAGGTGTGTGAGGACACACTCATGCCGTCATAACCAGATGACAGAAGTTATCAGGTGATCAGCCAGGCTAATGATGAGATGGTTAGGTGTTGCTCACCTCATGTGCTCTTATAGAGTATTAACATGTGCCTGCCTCATGGTGTTGCGTCCATATTTTGCTGGGTGTCCTACAATAATGCAGGTTATTAGTTAAGTTACTTTTGATAGCAAAAAACAAAATATTTAATGTAAAAGTTATTTATCAGGTGAATCAGCTCACATGTCACCAAGTGTCACAGGACCAGAATCAGTAGTCTCCTTCATGATGCTCACAGCAGCAACACACGTGTAGCAATAAGCTATGAAACAAAAACATAGATGATGTTAAAACTCAAAGGCTGTAACGAAGATTACATGATGATTAAAAACAACTCGCCTTTACTACACCTGCAAGGCTGCATGTTAGTCTGGACCATTTGTAGCTGCAACAATCAGTCTGACAGCAGATTACTTGGGTTCATTTAGCCTGAAAAAAGCAAATTATATATAACATCAGTGTTGTGGGAGGAATCATCCAGAGATGATGAGAAACGTGGAGAGCGGAGCAAGGATGGAGCTACAGGTTTTTCTGTTAGATCAGGAGGCCCTGAGGTAAAATGGGATGTTAATGTGAGTCTGGGAAGCTACCCCTCTCCAGTGGTGAGCAGCCAGGCTGAGATGTAAGGAAAAAAAACAGAAAACAGAGTACAATATTATTATTTAGAATGTTTTTACCTGGATCAGTTCATAGAGCTTGTCCTGTCATCCAGATGGAAGCTGCTCAGAAGCTCTCCACCACACCTGGGTCTGTTCAGGAGCGTAGAAGCTGCTCTGGGTGGAATTCATCACATTGTTGTGGGAGTTTAGTAACTTAGATCGTGTACAAAACAAACTGTCTAATATATGTGCTTTATAACACGGCTGGTGAGTGATTGAACTGCTCTCAGAGCTAGCTCAGGGTCCAGAATCAGACATGTTCTAATGAGAACCGGACTCATCACCAGTTCAGAACTGGGTC